TATATTTATAGCCCCAAGATTTCACTTTCAAATGGTGAAAATCGGAGGTCTCTATCTTGTTCCTATCAAAAGTTATTGAAAAAACCGTAAGGTGTCTTCTATTTTGAAACGGATAGTAGTATAGATGAAAATGCTCCATTGCCAATAGCAAGGGCAGCAACAATATTACAAACAACATTTCTTCCAACAAACAACTTTCAATCACATATACCTCTTGTTCAACAATCTGATCAATACGGTAATAATACATTTTATAATAATCAATTACAACAGTATCGTCCATCTTCACGCTCATCATCAAACTATAACCACCAACGTACTCGCCAACATCGACCGATCCAATGTTATAATTGTGGCAAGCTTGGACACAAAGCCACATATTGCTTTAAACCAAAACAACATTTAAACTAAATCAGGAGTCACGTAGTGATGGGCGTGCTCTCTAAAGTAATGAATTAAAACCACTACAACATCTTCAATCATCATTAAAATCTAAATCTAATAAATGTTTTACGGATAATCATATGGTTTGAAAAATTCCTCGCCAACAACGTCAACTAAAACGCTTGCATCATCGTGTATCAATTTATTAGTTAATAACTATCTTATGAAAACAATGATTGATTCGGGCTCTGATGATTCGTTTATTAGTCCAGAAGCTTTAGCCAAAATTTCTCCTCAACCTATTATGCATCCGACTAATAAAGATTTTCAAGCTATGAATGGCACACAAGTTGTCGTATCTGGTTATGTAATATTAACAATTGCTTTTGCCAAAAACTTGTCTGATGAAATAATCTATGTATCACTACAAACCAACATCGATTTACTTTTAGGACAAACATGGATTCAGAAACACCAGGCGATTCTTAATTGTAAAGATCAATGTGTTACTATTATGACTGGTAATGGTCCAAGATCCATTCGATATATACCAGCATATGACAATAATAGTGGCGACACATGTCAACAATACAACATTCGACTAGTAAATGATATTACTATTAAATCATGAACAGTACAATCAGTTGACACTATTTGTCCATCAATTTCGAATGCAGACACAGCTATATTCTATCCACGATAACAACTACAAGAAGATCTTTCAATACTAATCCCGAATAGCTTATTGAATATTTACCATCATCGAACAACATTATACATTGTTAATCATACAGATACCAATTGTGTATTACCAAAAAATTCAAAATTAGGAAAAAGTTCGTCAGGTTCCATTAGCTACTCTCTGCTGTAGTATTACTGAATCATTTGAATCATTCAAACCTGATGCTGTTATACCAAACAAGATTTTATAAGATATTAATATATTAATTCGATATTTGAAACCAGAACATCAACGATTAAAGCTTCCAATATTGTTGCAAGAGTGGAAAGTTTTTGATATTAGTAAACCATCTCAAGCTACAGATTTGAAAACAAAACATCGAATTATAACACAAGATTATTCACCTATTTATCAATGACCATATCGTGTTCCTGGATCCATCAAACAGCAACAGAAAGAATTAACCGATGAAATGGAAAGAAATGATCAAATCAGTAGATCTCAATCTCCACGGGCATCATCAGTTTTACTAGTGAAGAAACATGATGGTAGTCCAAGATTTATTGTTGATTATCGCAAATTGAATTCTATTACCATTCGAGATAGCTACCCACTTTCTCCAATGGATGATACTATTAATCAATTAGCTGGAGCTCGGCATCATTCTAAATTCGATTTGAAATGTGGATACCATCAAGTTCCAATTGACTCCCGAGACAAGCAAAAAATGGCTTTTATAACATCGTATCAATTATTCGAATTCAATGTTCTTCCACGAGGATTAGTCAATGGTCCACCTGTTTTTCAAAGAATCATGAACGAAGTATTGGGAGATTTATTAGGTCATCATTGTTTAGTCTATTTAGATGATATTATCACGTTCTCCCGAAATATTGATGATCATGTTAAAGGCATTCATGCTGTATTACATGCTCTAAATAATCATAATTTCAAACTAAATTTGTCTAAATCTGCACTGGTACATGAACGCCTTGAATATCTTGGACATGAAATTGATCATAAAGGTTGTCGACCATTACAAAATAACATCAAAGCTATTATTGATATTCTCACACCAACAACATATGATGAAGCTCATCGATTCTATGGAATGGCAAATTATTATCGGTCATTTATTAAGAACCTTGCAGCAGTTGACTATCCATTACAAAGATTTCAAGCTAAGAAAGGTGAATTTATTCGGAAGACTGAACAACAATTAGCATTTGACACATTAAAAAAGCACTTAGTATCAGAACCATGTACATCAAATTTCCCAATGCCAAATGTTCCTTTTATATTGGCTACTGATGCATCATCGAAGAAGGGTATTGGTGTTACTTTGAAGCAAAAAATTGATAAAAATGAACGTGTAATTGTATACTTATCACAAAATTTAAATAAAGTTGAAAGAAAATGGAGTGTTACAGACCAAGAATGCTGGGCCATAGTTTGGGCGATTTAAAAATTAAGAATTTATTTATATGGCACAAGATTTAATATTATTACAGATCACCATCCACTATGTTGGTTAAATAAGCATACATCTGAGAATGAAAGACTATCGTTGGTCATTGATTTTACAGGAATATGAATTTGATAGTCAACATAAGAGTGGCTCATGTCATTTAGACGCTGACTGTCTATTAAGATGTATATCATCAACTTATATGTCCAACAATGTTAATGATGATGATCATAATGAAGATACTATTCCAGCTCACAATGAATTTCGTCCATCATTCACTCCAAATAACACCCATACTTCACAAAATAATGCAGTACAAACACGTGTACAAACGGCTGCTCTAGATAACGCATCAAAACCCAAGTCAATAACATCATCGAAATCTCAGCCAACCATATCATCAACACTTCAACCAATAACATCATCATTTGCATTCAACAGCTCATCTTCAACATTAGGTTTTAACTATTCGAAAATTCCACAATAACAATTATTGGATCCGCTTATTCAACAACGAATCTATAAGATGCAACAACATTCAAATAACTGTCCCTTATTTGTAGTTGAGCACGGTATCCTCTACAAACTCATTGAGATGTAGCCAGGTCGAACAAAGAAGAAAGTGTCATGGGTACCCCAATCAATGATAAAAGACTTATTGTTTTCCACTCATACGCATCCAACATCAGCACACTATGAATCGGATCGAACTTATTACAAACTGAAGAACAACTATTACTGGCCTAATATGTTAAAAGATATAAAATTGTATGTGAAGCAATGTTTACTATGTGCACGATATAACATACCTCGACCGAAACCACCTGGATTGCTAGAAAAACCAGAACTACCAAGTGGAATATTTGATCTAATTGGTATCGACTTTTGGGGATCCAACACGTGAAGCTACTCGTAATGGTAATAGGTATATTATTACTTGTACAGATCATCTTTCAAAATTTCTTATTGCCAAAGCAGTACCAATAGCATCATCATCTGAAGCAGCTAAATTTCTTGTTGAAGACGTTATATTTAAATATGGCCATATTCCGAAACATATCCTAACCGATCAAGGATCTCATTTCAACAATTACTTAATGCAAGCAATTACGAATGATATCGGAATTAATCACATTTTCTCAACACCTTTTCATCCTCAAACAAACGGAACAATTGAAAGGTTTCATGCGACAATCAAAACACAATTATGTAAATTACAAGATCTGAATCATAATAATTGGGATCAATATTTGTCACCAACTATTTATGCTTACAATATCGGTCAACATCGAACAACTAAATATGCACCATATCAAATATTATATGGAAAACACCCTACTTTACCATTAACTCAACCCCAACCTATGTTACAATTCATAAGATCAAATGATTATTATAATCAATTTCGTCAATACCGTATATTTATCATCCAACAAGCTCGCAGGAGCATTCAACAACAACAGCAGCTGAGTAAGAAACGTTATGATCAACATCGGCAACATATTCAGTATGAAATAGGACAATTGGTATTAGCAAAGCCAGCTGTACAAAATAATAAAATAAATGCGGAAACCTCGGATTTAAATCCGAGAGTTATGTGTACTTCAAAAAGTGAATGAGACAGATGAGTCATCATAGAATGTGTGGATATCAAAATTATTCTGGCAAACCTTTTCTATAAAATACTTGATTTCTATTGGCTACTCTCAACCAATAGGATTTGGGGATGAATACAGAGAAGATTTGAACTCTTCGCCTTGATTTACCCTAAGAAAGTCGTTTTTCCTATAACTTGATTTCTATTGGTCCCTGTTCAACCAATGGTATTTCAAGGCAAATGGATGACAGATTCGAGTTCTCCGCCCCAAAAACCTCGAAGTATCATGTCCGTGATCGGAAGGTAGAGCTCCATTTTCGGATCAACTAGAGCGTGGACGAAAACAGAACCTATTTCCGTCTGATTATCTTGGCAATAGGTGAGTTAGCCTTCGTGTTTCGTTATGTTTTATATAACATTTTGTAGCTCGTGAAATTCTCTATCGAGTGGTATATAATAGTTGGAGTTTTATTTGATTATGATAGTAAAGATTTTTTACGAAAGTGGGAATAGGTCGATTTTCCTATAGGAAGCCATAGGGAAAAATGACTATTTTTGCAATAACTCAGGAACGGCTCGGTCAATCATGCTCATCTTCGAACTCGATCGAGATATTGTTAGGACTGAACTGTGTAGAAAATTTCATCGCAATCGGACCCTCTTTTCAAAAGTTATCGTGTAAACGGACGGACGGCCGGACACACTGACCGATTCTAGAGTGTACTCACTTTTTGAGTACACAATAAATCACCAATATTAATAGCTATCGAGTTCGGGTTTTTACCTTTCGATAGTCCTTTCGACTAGCTACAAAACCAGGCATTTAGGAACCCTAAAACTACTGGTCATCTGAGACATATCTAGGCAATTTGTTTTCTGGATGCAGTTTTTGTGCATTTTGAGACCTTTTTCAGGCGATGTTTTGTTAGAAAGCTACGATTTGGTTCAAAACTAATATCAGATTCGGAATCAGCGTTAAAAACTGAGTCGATTT